GGAAGGCGGACTGCGGCTGTAATAATCATCAGCTTGATTCAGAGAAGGAAAGGACTCAACATACACAAGAAAAGTCACAAGTGTAGTCGGAGCCATCTCTCAAGGTATCAGGAAAAGGTCAAATATAAGAACCAGAATGCTTTTATTTTTAAGATGAAGGCCACAAACAACACCAGTCCCAAGGTAATCGAACAAGACTCTCTGTCCAGCAGGAAAGTACTGGGTATCACGGGAGGCAGAGCCAAAGGAAACAAAAGGAAAAAGAATGAAACAATGCAGCCGATAGAAGAACAATATTTGGATAGCCTGATATGTGAGGCCACAGGCTACTGGGAAGACAACACAACGTCTCCTGGCTGAGTCCGTGTTTAGATGTGCGTTGCTGGACAAAATATAGTCGAATCCAGGCCCTGAAGGTGACGCCACGGGAGGGGAAGTTCCGCAAGTACCAGATTGGACACTATTTCTGCACAGTGGGTGAAACTGAGGTTGGCCTCAAATCAGCTTGTGCAGCATGTGCGGCAGTGTCTGTGATGGTAGCATGATGGGGGCCAAGGAGGGGAATCCTCGTTTGAGAGCGCTGAAACTGAGTGACGGCCGAGATGGAAATGGACCGCGCGTGTTTGAGGATTGGACGAGCAAAGACGAGCGACGTCGATGTGGAATTGAGTCCAATTAGAAGAGATGAAGAAGGTACAAGGTCGAGTCTTGTCAGGCGCTTGGTGATGGTGATTGCAGGAGAGCAGGAGCAATTCAGGGTCCGGCGGTTATTGAGGTGGAAGTGAGTGGTGTTTCGGCCAGCAACGACTGGCAATGGGATGAGCGTAAATGAGTGGCTCGGATGTGCAACAGGGTAAGCAGCATAGAAGATTGCAGCACGAGCGTGAGAGGGTAAGAGGGCAAGGAAACTATTACATTGGTGGACCAATGCAGATTATAAGAGTTTTGCCAGCAACATGATATGATGTCTGAAAGATGCGGCTGTCATCATGCAGCCTGGGAACTTTGACAGATGAAATCCCGCCCGGTTCGATCTTGTCCACCTCTAGTCCAATGTCCATGACCATATCTCTATTATTTCCGAGTCCCTTGCTCAGCAAGCGAGAGAACGGGCCCGCTCGAATCGAGAGCCGGTTGTTGATCGGAGGTGTCAATTTGGGTCAAGCGAAGAGGCTGGGGCACAAAAGGTAATGGAACGGACATTCGATGGACTCGTGGGTATTTCTGGAAGCGGGCGGGCTGCATGAAGGATTGGACAGAAAAGGGTACAAAGGGCAGGTTGATAGATCAAAACAGAGCAAAACAAGGTAAAGGCCATGCAGTAGCGAATCGTGTTGCCCAGCGCAGTGTGACAGTCAAATTGGCAGAAACTCAAAAGAGAATAGACAACGCATGGCGAGTCCGATGGCTCGGCATGGCGATTGGCCGTTGTTCGTCAGCTCATGCCTCAAGCAGCCTAGTTGGGGGATCACGGACCAGGGGGACCAAGGCACCCCGGCAATCCAGGCACCCCAGGGCCATTAGGGATTCACGGGCCAACTGCATGTCGCCACTTGTCGAGTCTCGGACCCTGAGAGACTTGTTTGGGTGGAGGTGGAGAGCCACTAAAACCGCCCTGGCTTCAGCCAACCTCTGTTCTTGGTACCGCTTTGACTTTCACTTTTCAGCTCACACTGTACCTCGTAATCTCAGTACATAGCAGGAGTACTCGGTACTCATACTTTGTGGCATCTACTTCCGTCGAAAGGTGTATATGGGAAACAACAAAATGACAAGTTCACGGCAACAAACTGAAGAAGCAGCCCTCGCTCCCTGCTGGCTTTGTTTGTATCCCCTATTCATTTGTCAAATTGACGTCTCTGGGTAACCGCCGGCCCTCCTTGCGACATCTCAATTTACCGGGGAATCAGCCACTGAGGGAAAAAAAGGAACCTCAATTTGACCTTGCATGCCGAGGGGCTTGCTTCTAGCCCTTGCTGGGTGTCTCCTCCTCGTATTACGAATAATAGGCTTCATGGTGCCCGTTGCTGGTCACGAGTTTCGTCATTTCATCTCTTGTCAAGTCCTGGCCAGATGCAGCAACGAGTCGATACTGTAGCTCTCACGATCCACACAACTTCGTGCACTATATTTCACCACAAAGTCCTTGTTTAACTTTTATACGGCGAGGATATAGAATGTCGGCCAGGGGCTAATACCGAGTACTTTGCTCGTGTATCCCAGGAGCAAGTGCCTCTGAAGATGACCAGTATTTGTACATCCTAAGGCATCATACCAATTCATGGAAAACGTCAATCGGGATGGACCCACCCCCGCCCACGATGCCTCCAAAAACGCCCTCAAGTTCGCTGCCCACGCTCGTTATAGCAGTATTACCGACGCCGCCGTCGTCTTAGTTCAAAATCATTCTCGTCCAGTTCATCGTCTTCTTCCTCATTTGTGACTGGTACTCCGTGTACTTCAGAGATCTCTGCATTGTGATCGTCCGTCAATTCTTCGCTCCCCCAAACGGAATGCAAATCATCAACTCGCTCAATGCCGTGGTTGCCCAACATCCATCGTCCTAGACCAACCACGCCCTCGTAAGCTTCTTGACCCGTGGGAAGAATGTGAGACCTCGGCAGCAAGAAACCATATGTCCCGGTGTCTCTCAGCTTGATTTGGAATGCAAGCTTGACATCAAGATCATGGTAGAAGAAATCCAACGCAGAGCCACCTTGTGGCTCTATCTGGACTCGTGGTGTTTTCGCTCGGTCCCGGAAGACCATGCTACCTTGGCACGCGCTTTCGACTCCATAATGATGCCCGTTGGTCAATCGGAAAGACTTCGCGATCCCAATGGCAACCTCTTCGAGGTCTTCGAGGTTTGGTGGCTCTGTATCGCAAGTATAGCTGTAAGGGTAGAGCACTTCCTGAGAGTAGGAGTGGAAGTCTAGATACGACATAAATGTGACGTTATTGTTGGCCGTCAAGTTTTGAGCCCACTCTGTCAACATTTGCGCTTCAACTGCAGCCAACGGTCCGGGGCCGGCATAATCGTCACTACAGGCGTTATCTGTGTTCCCATAGCCGTCCCATCCGAATTGAAAGGCACGGTCGAGGTCGATACCAGGGCAGAATGGAATAGACGTAGCTTGCCTATTCTTGCGCCACAGTCTGTCGGACGTCCAGGTATACTCATATCCATCAGGGTTCAGCACGGGAACGAAAATCAAGTCGAAATGGTTCAAAATCTTCGTGACTTCCGGAAACTGATCATGCCCATAACGCGTGACAAGGCTGTAGGCGATGTATGCCACTGTCGAGACTGAGATCCATTCGCGAGCATGGCTCCCGCCCACTATCAGCAGTGTCTGCTTCGTGTCATGCGAGTCTGTCGAGCTACCAACGAGCTGCGCTCCGATGCGCAAGGCAGGGATGTCGCGACCCTCGGCCGATTGACCGATACTCATCAGAGAAGCGTGCGTAGGGAAGAGCGAGGCAAGCAACCGTAGCCAGGGATATAGCACCGATAGCGGTTGATAGTCTTGGAAAAATAGATCATGCGGCGTGTTCCCCTTTGCCCTCCAGTCATGTGGGGTCGTGAAGCCCGAAATCTTCTCGTTGGCAAGAGGCGATGCAGGGTATGTATCGTAGACGGCACGCGCAAGATCGTGCATCAATGGCATGTAGGAATCGTGCAAGGAGGACGGTAGAAGGCCAACAAAAGAGGGAACCACTTCCTTTGCTACCCGTACATCGACCCATTCGTTGGTTGCTTCCCAGATGTCCAAGTATAAGATGTCTGCTGCTTCTGAAATCGCCCTCGCCTCATCTTCTGTCTTGATTTGGAAGCGGAGGACAACGTCACCGCCATAGCGAGCGCGAAAGTTGTCTGGAGCTCTTGCTCCGCCGGCTATGGATGAGGGCTTGTAGGAATATCGACTCGGAATGGACCATATTCGTTCGATGATAGCGTCTCGAAGTCTGCGAAAGGACCCTCTCGGTCTTTCTCGGGGTGTAAGGGTGAGTTTGTTCTGCGGGGAGGTATGAGAGAAAGACTCGCTAGTAGGAACGGAAATGGTGGCAGTGATAAGAGCTGAAAAGATTAATATGCTGCGGAGAAAAGGAGCCATGCTGGGCTGGAGACAGTATTGCTATTGTGACATGTGAGCCGGGACCTGAAGATCAAAGGCGACCCTGATGGTAGATTTTCTGATGTGGAAAGTGAGCACGAGAGCACAGTTCCAGCAGCGGAGACAGCAGCTAGCTCGGTGAGTTGGGAGGAAGGGAGGGCTAAAGGCGCTTTGGATGCTTATCAGATAGAGATGCTTCTCCCCAAGCAATGGGTCACTAAATGCCACAGCCAAGATCACCAGTCATACGATGATTCTGGAGATAGATAGGCACCGACGTAGGAGTAGGACAACAAGTTTTTGGATGGGGCTGTTGAACGTGCAGGGGCGGAGCATGCAGGCAGCGCCATTTCTCTCCTCCAATAAGTGCCAGGACAACAGGGCCTGGGTCTAGTCCCTTTAGAATGACCGCCTAAAGCGAGGGAAGCCTTTCGTCTGCAACTGCGGGGGTCTCCCACCTTTCCAACACACCATCTTGAACAATCACCCATGAGCAAGGCAAAGTGTTCGACAGCGTGACAGCCTCCTTGCTATTGGTGCTCGTGGAGAGGGGAGCAAATGTCTAAGGTTTTACTCAAGGGACGTACTTTGCACCAGGCTTGTGTATTCTTTCCTCCCGGGTCGACATTGCATGTCATATTTAAGAAGACAGCAACGGCACATGCTAGCCAGTCCATTGGCCAACCTTGCAGAGAGTTCAAAGTCATGGACCAGCAGGGACAAAACATGACTGAAGCGGCAAGCAAGTTGCAGATTCTATTCTTCGTGATGTGCTTGGACGATAATGAGCTATCGCAGGCCATCTACCCCATTCATCATCTCAGAACACCATCATTGTCGTGTCGTATGTATCCTCGAATGCACCGATCGATGTGGCTTTTTCGCTTACACTTTGTATTCTTCCAGGCCCCATTTCCAAACGGTCGCATATGGTGTCATACCATCCTCACGGAAGTCAACAAGGACGTACATGCCGTTCTCGGTCATTGACTCGCCCTGATAGATGTCGTAGTTGTCCCAGTTGCCGAGAATCTTTTTGGCTGCGGCAGGTGCTTCTGACTGGAATTTCTTGATCTCCTCCTCGCTCTTCCCCTTCTCCTTCAATTTCTCTGTCAGAGCCTTCATGTATTCTGTACCCGTGTCAATTCTGCAACCTTGACAAACCGCAGTCCAGGACATGTCACGTACTCTTGAGTTCGGACTGATACGATTTCTTGCTCATTCCACCTTCGAGCTTTTGTAGACGAAACTGGTCGGCAAGATCAAGAACCGTGACCTTGGTGTCATCCGTACCGTCTTCGGCGTCTTCGCCCTCAGCAGATGGATTGGCGCCTTCGAGAACTGAATTCCAAGAGTTTAGTCGGTTTACGGAGGGATGAGGGACGAGGACGAGACTAACCAAAGTTCTCGGATCCTTTTGTGATCATCTTGCCGTCAATTTCCCACAGGCCATTGCCAATATCGATGATTTTCGATGTGTCAGACGCGAGCTCATCGCCGCTGATGATGTCCTGATATAAAATTGTTAGTTAATTCAGGCGGGGTAGGGTCAAAAGACCCTGTGTTCGAGGATGAAATGGTTTGTACCCTGTAAATAATCATCTTGAATCAAGCGCTGCAGCGAGCAGAGGGAAACAAATAATGGGGGAGAAGGTGCGCTTAAAGGTGGAAAGGACCGAGCGAAAGAAAAAAAATGAATGAGCGCAAGCCTGGCTGGGTTGACGAGGGGTTCAAGATCGAAAGGGTATCTAGGCCTGTGAATGCCCATCCACTTGGACAAACTGCGGTGCGGTGTGGGGTTGCGCTGCCACCAAAAATTTTGCTGCGTCCACTTCAATATTGCGCCGCTTGGCGCACGTGATAATTCAATCTCAAGGACAATCACATGACTCCGGAGCAAGGAGGCATGGAGGAGGCAAATTTCCCTTCGTCACCAAATTAATTCTCCGGAAACTCCTGATCCTGATCACCTCTACAGTTCATTCTGGTCGGTCTCTCCACCTCTCTTCTGATGTTCTCATCTTGTCTTAATTCACTCCTTCGCTTCCTTCACTTCTCATAATCTTCTCTTGCTTTCGCTTTCTACTGGTCTTCTACTTTGCTTTTGTCGACTCCCCTCACCGGGCTGAACGTACGCAAACGCGTGCCCTTCCTTTCCACCCCCCATTAGACCCTTGCACGGTCATCCGAGCCTCCCGCGCACACCTTTAATATATCCCCCTGCGATACCTCTACGTCGAACATCGTCCCTGCTCCTCTTGCCATTCCATGTCCGATAACATGGCAAACGCGACGTTTCCGGACCTCCCTGGTCTCCCTTCCTATACCCTGAAACCCCGCCCCTCTATGATCCCGGGCATATCAGATCCACTCCTTCAGCTCCTCGCTCCTATCATTGCCTATTGGGTTGTCTCACTGTTCTTCCACATCTTGGATACCTATGACCTGTGTTCGCAGTACAGGTTGCACACTCCAGCTGAAGTCCTCAAACGCAATCATGTCACCAGATACGAAGTCCTTCGGGACGTGATTATCCAGCAGATAGTCCAGACAGTGTTTGGATTGATAATCGCTTCCTTTGACCCTGTCGAGACGATCGGTAAAGAGGATTATGATATCGCTGTCTGGGCACAGCGCCTGCGTTTCGCCGAAAGATATATTCCAACATTGCTCGGTTTCATTGGTCTAGATGCTATGTCTCTTGGTCGAAAACTTCAATCCGACTATCCTCAACTTGCAGGCGCTTTGGTCGGAGGGATCTATTCCACACCATCTTTCGCATCGTGGGAAATGACAACCGCGAAGTCGATTTACTGGGTTGGCATTCCTTTGATCCAATTTGCCGTGGCGACTCTGATCGTAGACACATGGCAATATTTCCTTCATCGAGCCATGCACATGAACAAATTTCTTTACACCACCTTCCATTCTCGGCACCATCGTTTGTATGTTCCATACGCGTATGGAGCACTCTACAACCATCCTTTGGAAGGCTTCATGCTTGACACGCTTGGGACGGGAGTGGCCTATTTGACAACCGGGATGACCATTAGACAAGGCATGTGGTTTTTCACCATCTCGTCAATCAAGACGGTTGACGACCATTGCGGGTATGCTTTTCCGTGGGATCCTCTGCAACACATTACCTCGAATAACGCGGCTTATCATGACGTGCACCATCAGAGTTGGGGCATCAAGACTAACTTTTCACAACCATTCTTCACATTCTGGGACCGCCTTCTTAATACCGCATGGACCGGTGGTGATGTGTCAGCCCGTTACCAACGCGATAGGATTGCAGCCCAGAAGAAAGTGGACGCAGATGCTACTGCAGCTGCAGCTGCAGCTAACATTGTCAACTCGCCGATCATTGACAAGGGTCATGCAGAGCATCAAGCTCAGTCAAGTCAGAGGCAGGTCCTTGACGACAAAGAAAATGCTGGACCTCAAGCACTCGAGGAGGAAGCAAGGGAAGAACAAGAAGTCAAACAAGCCTTGCGGAGAAGCACCAGACGCAAGAGTGGTTTCGATGCCAAGTCAATATCGGATCGCGTCGCAGGGATCCATAGCAGAAGTCCGGCAATTCTACACGCGGACGGGATGCATTGAACAGCGGTGTATAAAATGTTTACTGTTACGACCAGATTTTTCATGGTACATATTCGGCACTGCTTTTAGGGAGCACGGGGCAAGGAACCGGAATGTGATCCAGATGATGGGGTTTGGGGGGGAAAGAGCCTATGCGCCTTTACTATGTTCTTGCAAATCAAGGTAATGTGTACAAAATACGGGCTGGTGCCCAAAGGTCATGGTGGTACTGGGGTTTGCATATTTGAATAAACAAGAAGGAATTGTCTCCCCGCCTCATTCCAATACTCAAGCCTGATTTTCTCAAGTCTCAAAAGTCCTGGTTGGTCGGCGCAGGCAGCGCAGCCACGGTGACGTTCGTTCTCATTGTCAAAGTCTCATCCCGACAAAGCAAAATCTTTCCATGTCTGCTTGACTTCGCAATGCCTTGATGAGGGACAATGACTACAGTTCTCCTTTGTCCGGCACATTTTCTTTGATCCATTGTCTGTGGGTAGACCTATGAAAGTGCAAACCTCCCAAGGTCCATGCATGCTCTCCCAACTTTGTCCTCGCAACCCCTTCATAGCTAACCAAATTATTTCCTGACAGCAACCTCCCAGACTTTATCCAGACCTTTTTCGTTGAAGCCTGTCACTGAAACAACTGTTTTCACAATCCCAAGCTCACGCGACGAGCACGACTCAGGTGAGAGATTTTCTCGGTGACACTCTCAGGGCCAGAAGCCAAGTGCTGACAAGATGTATATTGAAGAGATCCCATCTGTGTGCATCCCGACATTTGCGAAACTCCTACAATTCCGACCCAATGAAGCTCCAGAAGCACTGTCATTGCGAATCGCCAAGGGGGTAAAATTGATACCTTCTTTTCTCAGGTCGAGTCGGTTGGAGAATATCCTATTGCCGCCTCGCGGCCACCTCTGCCAGCAACACAAATCCCTACACTACGATGCCGTGGATGTCGTGCTGCATCATGTCCAGCTTGAGGTGGGAATCCGTCTCAACAATCTCATTGCACACTGCAATCTGCTCTCTCCAGAGCAGTACGATCGAGTCATGAGACTTCGGGCACTGCACGCCTTGTGGCTCACACCAGACGACTACGCAAAAACCTTCTTGGTCTCAAGCCAGGGCTCGAAGTGGAGTTACCAAAGTGACCGCTGCCGTGCATGCATCCTGTCCCGCATTACATGTGATCTGGAGATTCTCCTGGACCTGAGGTGGACAATCAGGTCGAGGACAACGTCAACTTTCGTCGCCGCGCATGGAACCCCGAGACTCCAATCATGGGTGCAGGTGTGGATTGCCGCGCTGGCGAAATGTGTGGAGAGGGCGACGGGTCAAGATATCGACCTTGACACCGTTATGCTCCAGAATGAGGAGCAAGCAGTGGCGCTGAAGAAGACAAGAGCTAATATCGAAGCAGTGAAGAAGGAGAAATATAAGTATATGAAGCTGAGCAGAACGAAAAGCGGAAGAACAAGAGCCAAGCGCACCGGTAGCTCTCGTCTTGTTCCCAATCCCCCGGCTGCCTCTGAACACGAAGCTTCAGGATCAGCAAATCTGGACGGGGTCTGTGACAATCATGCCGGAGAAGGTGTGCCAGGAGAACCGAACGAAGACGATCTCTCGGGCATGGATGCCTATGAGGCGCTGACCAGCACGACCTACCTTCCAAATCAGCCACGACCTCACATGAAATTTCCATTCGAATCAGATATCAGCTCTGTGTCGGGTGATCCATCCACAAAAGGTCAAAGTCCTTACGGACGTTCTTCCTCGACCACTGAACGCGCATCACACTTTGGCGTTGTCGAAGACCCACCATCTGCTTCTTCACAGACGTGCAAAACCTCTACTCACCAGGAGGAAACGCTTGAGTACGTACCGCCGCGGTCACAGTGGAAGACATCACGACAAGAAGAACCAACACGACCGGCCGCCAACGACAGGGTACACGGGCTATTTGGATCTTCCAGAGATTCTTGGGAAACAGACCCTGTCTTGGCTTCGGCTTCAAGTATATACTCTGTGGCAACCACGGTGTCCAAGACCCAGAAGCGTCATGCCTCTGCAAGTAGCCAGCGAACCACCAGAGTGAATGAGGATGAGCACGAGCACGAGCACGGTGAAAGTCACAGTCGATCTAAAGGTTGCGCCCTGTCAGGTACAGGACACAACCTGCCATCTGAAAATCCGAGACGCTGTGCAGCACAGACCTACATCGACCTCGTCGCCCCGTCTCCATTCACAACCACATCTGAAACACCCTCGAGACCGAAACCTGTACCGGGTTCTAGACTAGGACAATTCACGCCCCCATCCTCGGCATCAGATCTATTCCTCCGTCTGTACGATGAAGTCAGCCGGTCTGCAGCAGATCTAGGCACGACCACAATCTCACCGAGATCGACTCCTACACCGGTAGTGCGGCAGGACCTGTCGAGGCCATCGCGGCGTTTGGCGTCTTCAACAGAAGAGATCCTTGACCTGTACGACGACACGATCAGTTCCACCCCTCCGGACAAAAGCCCCAGCTCCTCGTCGCCGGACACGCCCCCCACACCATCGACATCGGCATGGGCGGCAACGGGAAAGAAGTCGACTCCCGAGCGCCTCTCTGTGAGGGTGCACACGAGTGAAAGACGGAACCACGATAGAAGGACCTTGACCCACGCCACCCACAGCACCGTGCGCGTGCGGGACAGTCCAGTTTCGCGAAGCTCTCCCAGTCGGAGCGAAAGCAAAAGCACAAGCAGTGGCAGAAGCAAACACCACAGCCAAAGCCAGAGCCAGAGTCAGGGCCAATCCCGGGTCAGTGAGAGCAGGGACGACGTCCAATCCACGTGGAGCGGAGCGTACGAGTCGGAGATCGCATCGAGGAATGATCTTGGTTGGTATTACCAGGGCAGGAGGAGATAGACCTGACCACTCAGTCAGTCAGTCAGTCAGTCTTGGAAGTCCGGTCCATCAAGGATGGTCTCCCTTCTAGGCCTCGATAGGTAGGGGAGTTTA